ACCAAATCCAACTTCAACACTTCAAACCTGATTAAACATTTGCGTAAGCACCACGCACAGGAGTACGAAGAATATATACAGACAACCAGAGCTAAAAAGAAAAGCGTGCCGCTTCAACAATCGCTGCAAGAAACATTACAGAGGCGCGAGAAGCTCGCTTCAGAGACCAGCAAGGCAAAGATGATCACAGAGAAATTGACTGAATTCATTTTGCTAGATGACCAACCAATTTCTGTTGTGGAAAATGTGGGGTTTAGACGCTTTATGGAACACATGGTTTCCACGGCTGCACTTTTTTTAGTTGGATTTTATAATAAATATTTAAATTTAGTTTTGACTATTTAATAGTGGTGTGTAAAATGCTGCATGGTTAAAAATCCTAATAAAAAAGCAGCAGTGTTCAATATCTTGATTTATGTTGTGGGCTTTTCTTCCTTTTGGGGATTAAAATATTTTTTTCTTAGTTTTGATACATGATTTTTAGAAGGCCTGGTTAAGCAGTAAATCTATACAAATATATTAACAATTTACTTGGTATCGGACAGGAATCGGTATCGGCAGATACTAAATTTTGTGGTATCGGTATCGGTTGGGGAAAAACTGGTATCGAGCCATCCCTACTGGTAACAGTGAAAAAGTATCCACAGTCTGTTAAACATTGTTCATTATTGTCTGTGGCAGCTACTTTAGATAATAAGCTCAACAGCACTGTAGCCAGGCTGACAAAGCTGACAGTGCTGTTGAGCTTAACATTCCCTTAGATCTCAGCAGCAATGACTTCATGAACTTTTTTACAAATAAAATCACAACTATTAAGAGAACAAATTAATCAGGTCCTTCCCACAACTCTCACAGATGTATCAGGTACAATGGCTTTAGAAACATCTGTAAGACCTCATTTACACGTAGACTACTTCTCTCCCATTGATCTCTCTGAGTTGACCTCAACAATTGCTTCATCTAAATCATCAACATGTCTCTTAGACCCCATCCAGACAACGCTGCTCAATGACCTTTTACCCACAGTCAACATATCAATATTAGATCTGATTAACCTCTCTCTATTAACAGGCCATGTTCTGCAGACTTTTAAGGTTGCAGTAATTAAACGTCTACTCAAAAAGCCTACTCTCAACCGAGGTGTCCTAGCTAATTATAGACCAATATCCAATCTCCTGTTTATTTCTAAAATCCTTGAAAAAGCTGTTGCTAAGCAGTTATGTGACCACTTGCGCAAGAATAATTTGAGGATTTTCAATGAGGTTTTAGAGTTCATCATAGTAGAGAAACTGCACTGGTAAAAGTCACCAACAATCTCCTCCTAGCCTCAGACAAAGGACGTGTCTCCCTCCATACTTTTCCTCATAGATCTCAGTGCTGCTTTTGACACCACTGATCACCGCATTTTACTACAGATTTCAACATGCTATTGGGATTAAAGAAACTGAACTAAGTTGGGTCATATCTTATTTATCAGAAAGATTCCAATTTGTTCATGTTAATGATGAATCTTCCGTGCGGATTGAAGTTAATCACGGTGTTCCACTGGGCTCTGTGCTAGGCCAAGTTCACTTCACTTTATACATGCTCCCTTTTTTAGGCAATATTATCAGGAAACAGCATAAATTTTCATTGCTATGCAGATGATACTCGGTTAAATTTATGAATCAGATCAGTTGGTCAAACTTTGAGCATGTCTTAAAGACATAAAGGCCTGAATGACCTGTAATTTCTGTAAAAACTGAAGTTATTGTACTTGGGCCTGAAAGCCTTAGAAATCTGCTGTCTAACCATATAGTTATTCCAGTACTGCTGTGAGGAACCTTGGTTGGAGTCATTTTGACCGGGATATGTCCTTTAGATCACACGTAAACCAGGTTTCTACAATTGCCTTCTTTCACCTGCGGAATATCAAAAATCAGGAGCATCCTGTCTCAAAATGATGCTGAAACACTGGTCCATGCATTTGTTACTTCCAGGCTGGACTACCGTAACTCTTTACTATCAGGATGTCCCAATAATTCTCTAAAAAGCCTCGAGTTAATCCAAAATGCTGCAGCCAGATTACTGACAGGAACTAGCAAGAGAGATCATATCTCTCCCATATTAGCTTCTCTCCACTGGCTCCCTGTAAAATCCAGAATAGAATTTAAAATTCTCCTAACATACAAACCCCTTAATGACAAGGCTCCATCGTATCCTAAAGACCTCATAGTGCCTTATCCCAACAGAGCACTTCGCTCTCAGAGTGCAGGTCTATTTGTGGTTCCTAGAGTCCACTGAAGTAGAATGGGAGCCAGAGCCTTTAGCTATCAAGCTCCTCTTCCTGTGGAACCAGCTCCCAGTCTTGGTTCGGGACGCAGACACCCTCTCTACCTTTAAGATTAGCCTTAAGACTTTCTTTTTTGATAAAGCTTATAGTTGGCCTAATATAATATTGTTTTCAATATAATCCTAGTATGACTGTGAGGGATGACAGAAAGTATGATATGTTGTGACATGTCTTCCAGTATTTCATGGAATCAGAACAACTAATGTGGCTGAACAGGGATAAGACCGACAACCATCTTGGTAACTGCAAGCAAACGGGGCCTGGGCAGTTCTGTTGCCACTGAGTATATTTAACCATACCAGTTGTTTCTAGTCAACAGGAATTGCATTTTAGGATAATTTTGATTTGGCATACCATCCTTTAGTTATAGGCCTAGGCTAAGGTTTGTCCCATGGTGCTCCTCTCCTCTCCTCTCTCTCCATCCATCTATATCTCACCACTACCCATCACTGTGTGTCTCCTCCCTCCTGTAGTGTGTCCTCTCTCTCTCTCTCTCTCTCTCTTTTTCCTTTTCTCCCCTCTCTCTCTCTCCCTCCCTATAACTTTCTGCAGGTTGCCCTGGCTTTGGAGCTTTATGTCTCTGAGCAGTCACCAGCCACATCAACCTGCCCAGTGTTGGTTTGTTGTTGTGTTTGCCGTGTCTTGTTGCTTTCTTTTCTTTTCTCTCTCCTCTATCCACTCACCCCAACCGGTCAAGGCAGAAGGCCGCTCACCAAGAGCTGGTGTCTGTCAGAGGTTTCTTCCATTAAAGGGAGTTTTTCCTCCCCACTGTCACCAAGTGCTGCTCAAGGGAGATTTGCTGGGGTTGTTGTTGTTGTTGTAATAACAGTAGTAGTAGTAGCAAGGTCTGGATCTAACTTTGTTGTTATTAAGTGTCTTGAGACGACTTTTGTTGTGATTTAATTCTATACAAATAAAATTGAATTGTACGAACTCTGTTTACACTGACCAACGGAAGTGAGGGTACGCAGTTTGGAGGAACAATGACTGTTGTGATATCATGTGAAAAGGGTCCTTTTCTGGAATGTTAACTTTATTCAAGAGGTCCAGTCTTAGCTTGGTAATATTTCAAGCAAACGCTCTGTTTGCTCTTGGAGTATATTTTACAAAATGGGATCATTCATAACATGATTTTCCTTTGTTCTGTGCAGGTGAAACGAGAGGTGGGTGACGTCAGCATTCTGGTGAATAACGCTGGGATTGTGACAGGAAAGAAGTTCATGGATGCTCCTGATTCCCTGATTGAGAAGACAATGGAGGTCAACACTATGGCTCACTTCTGGGTGAGTCAGACACAGCAGACATGGAGAAACATTATGATAAAGCTAAACTACATATCTTCAGCTTGATCTAGTTTTATCATGATAGTTTCTGTTGTGGATCTGTATGGTTTCTTAGAGGCTATTTGAGTAACATGTAGCTTTAGATGCAGTATAGGCAATATTTTAACTTTAGTTAAAGTCAGGGATGCAGTATATGGTCCGACACCACCCTCTAGTGTTCGTACTCGTAAAACTAGTCCGGAACTACGCTCCGATGCCGCTTATCGGCAGCATTACAGTAACCTCATGCTGGTAAACCTGGTCGTTAGGTGGTAGAGAAGAAATTTCAGTGGTTCATGGATATTTTAAGGTGATGATGACAAAATTAAAGCTGCCTGTGAGCTCTCATCCTCTGCTCTGCTCTTATTGTCCAAACTGATCACAGCAACATATGATGTCCTCACTCTCCCCGTCTCCACAGTCAAAATGCCTGGTTCCATTCACCCACTAAACCCATACGGTGCTCATTATGCTGATTGCATTGAACTGTTGAAAACAAGAAAAAAAAAATGCTCCTTTTACGGAGTTAACGGTGGAGTCTGAGCTTTGTGTATGAAGATGAGTTGAATCACTGTGGACTTGGAGGCTGAGACCAGCAGCTCCTCTACAGTAGCGCATGTACTGTATGTGTCCAGCAGAGAGGACAGGATGAAGCCACAGACAGTAGTCAGTTTAAAGCAGGGGTGGCCAATTCCAGTCCTCTAGGCCACTGTCCTGCTTGTTTTCCAACTATCCCTGCCTGACCTGCTACTGATTACCTGGCAGCGAAGGTTTGTTACAGTACATGTCCAGCTTTAAAAATCAAACTATTTCTGAATAGGTGAGGTTGTGTGTGACCACAACAAGTTCTTCATCTTATGCAGATGTCCAAGTCCCCTTGTGATAGCATATTTTTACCCATTCTGCCTTCTCCCCCCAATTTTGGCTCTACACATGTCATCTATGTAACCCTATTGCTGTGTACTAAGAGAGTGACTGTGTAGACAAGGGCTGATCCAAATGTGTAATGGATACTTGTATTAAAAAGTACTTTTAAGTTTATCATTTTTATTGAATGTTTTTTTTTTTTCCCCATGATAATTACCAATGCCCAATTTTTTTGCCCAGTCCTATACTTAAGTGTTGTACTCATTGTGGTTGTCAGTTGTCTTCTGAGCTGTACAGTCTAATCCCTGCCTGCTTAGGTTTCTGTGTTTTGTTACATGTTTGTTTTTCTCTCTTTACTCAGACCTATAAGGCCTTCCTTCCTGCCATGATTGCTAACAATCACGGCCATCTTGTCAGCATTGCCAGTACGGCTGGACTCATTGGAGTCAGTGGATTGGCAGGTATGTGTTTTCTTTTCTTAACCATTTCATGCATGTCACTAATTCTAAAGTACAGTGCTGTAGATTAAAGTATATTTTTATGTGATTGCAGTATGATGTTTTTCTTTGTAGAAAAGTGTGATGATTGTTTTATAAACTGGTCTAATTGTGTCACTGCCATTTTTGGTGTCATCTCATTTATTCAGTGTGACATTTTGTTCATGATAGGAAATTACTGTTGGGTTTGTTTTTCGCTTTATTCTAATACATCAGTAGCACGCTGTGCACCTCTTCCACCGGCATTATTTTCAGTTTACATCAAGGCTGTGGTAGGAGATGGTAGGTGATACTAGGAGCATTAAACCTAATATCTTCTGTCATTCAAAGAAATAATTTTATGTGTAAGTTAAAACAATCTGCACACCTGGGTTTGTGCTTCATGCTGCTCGACACTGAAGAAATCAGAGATGAAGGGCATGGTGATGCATGGGTACAGTTGACTTTAGCCCATTCATTCTTGTTACCGTTTGGTCAGTGGAAGTCAGTGAGATGTAAAATAATTTTCTTTGAAGATGTCCAAAATAGTAAACAGCCAACAAAACATATGATACAGAGGAAAGGTCTGTAGTAAAAGAGAAAGCTCTGTGATAAGCACAGACTACAGCAGCGCTTTTCAAATGAAATACATGAGAGAGGAGGGTGGTGTAAAGTTAAAAATGCCGCTGTGGCACAGATTAGTCAAGAGTCAAGGCCATGTTTAGCATCCCTTATAAAGAGATATTTTTTTCTGCTGTTAAGACTATAAAATTTTCCTACACTACCCAGTCAGCAAATGGAACCATGCAAACATAACACTGATATAACTGCACTATTGCTGCCTATTTCAGTGTCCTGGGAGGAGGTTGTACAATATTTATTATTTAACTTGATGTTCCACAGGTTGGGTCCACAGGTTGTTGAATATGCATCATTGTGGTCTTAAATCTGCAGAACTGTTTTCTCATTCAGTGTTTTGAGTGACTCAATGAGCAGCACAAACTAAACTAACAGCAGTCTCAGTAAGCAAGGGGGTAAAGCAGAGCTCATTTGAGTAAAATAAAAATAAAACTTTTGTCTCTAGTGTTGTAAACCAGGTCAAGTCTGTTGCTGATACCATCTGTAATACATTGTTGAAATATCATATCCATCATCTGGTCTTTTGAAGCTTTAGTCTATAATTTTGTAGTTTTCTTTCTAAAGGATGAATCCTTTCCATTTTCAGGTTGGAATGCCAGGATTGTCTTGGCCTTAAATGGGGCTAATATTACTAAGTTGCGTATTTTGTCAGTTTGCTTTCCTCCTTGTCATTTCTTGAAATGGGAAAATTAAAATGCTGCAACACAACTCTAATGATGGAGCATCTGCTATGTCAGTTTTAAATTCTGCGACCGTAACACAGTTATACTGTTATATCCTGGTTGATGCATCACAATCCCACAATGGTAACGAAATTTTTCTATTGCAAAATTACAAATATTGTTACATCCCTAATAAATTGTAAATAAAAACTATAAATGTAATGTTATGAAGACCCCATGTTCACTTGGGCTAAATTAATATATTTTGGTAGATATAGGCTTATTTTGAGTTTGAGGCCATCAACATGTTCCAAAAAAGATGGAACAGGGCCAACAAGAGACTTGGAGAAGTTGTGTAATACTAAAACAAACCACCTGGTGGAACACCTTGGATAGGAAGTAAGTAATGAGTAATATTACATTCTTTGAGTAACAAGCCCAACACAGGTCCACATACGCTTATGTTTTCCAGGCATTGTGGTACATACGCAGTCTGTCCATGTGGACACAAACGTTTGGCCTCCCGAACCTGGGAAGATACCAAAATTTACATCACTTGACCAGTGTGGGCATGCAAGGCATCAAGTGCTGTTATAGGACTGGGATCCCTTACGAGTTGGCCACAGGTAGCTAACACTTGAGGCACTAGAGTCCTTAAAGTACTGTAAGCTATATTGTGTTTATGGCCTGTTGTGAATCAGTGCAGTTAATATAGCCAGCTGTCCTCTGTTTCTTTATAACCTTTTTGTGCATGTTGTAACAACTTGTTTTTTGACAAATAGAACTTTTACGGCATGAAGTGCATAAATCACTTGTGCACAACTGCACTAAATGTTGCTTGTAAATCCAAGTTTTTATTTTTACTGAGAAAATGCATTCTTGAAATCCCTAAACTTGTTTTTGCAAGTTAAAACTCTAATCCTAACCCATGCAAAGGGGAGAAAAGATGAATAAAACCAAATAAGATCCAGAAACGCCATCACCTTCTCTGGGCTCAAGCTCATTTAAGATGGACTGAGAGGAAATAGGGAAAACGGTCCTGTGATCTGACGAGCCACAACCTTTAATTCTTTTAGGAAATCGTTGACACTGCATCCTTCAGGCTAAAGATGAGGGGGACCATCCAGCTTGTTAGCATATGTGATAGGGTTGCACTAGGGCACACGACATGGGTAACTTGCACATCTGTGAAGGCACCATTATTGTTGAATTATACAGGTTTCCAGATAATGCCTTTTTCAGCAAGACTACTTATTTCAGCAAGATGATGCCAAATCATATTCTGCATGCATTTCAACAGCATAGCTCTGAAAAGGGTCAGATGCTGAACTGGCTTGCCTGCATTCCAGATTTGTTGCCCAGTGAAAACATTTGCTACATTATGAAGTGAAACATAGCAAAGTAGGTGACAAACTGTTGAGCAGTAATGCCACCTTATATTAAGCAAGATTGGGAAACACTTTAAAAACTAAAGCAATTGTTCTCATGAACTTAGTGTTTTTAAAAGAAGATTTAAAGTGGTAAGCATGTCTCTTTCCTACCTTTTTTGAAATTTGTTGGTTGTATCAAATATAAAGTAACTGTGCTATATGTGAATTCTTTTTCCAAATCAAAATAGAAGAGCACTCTTTATTTTCGTTGTGCATCTGTTTAGCTCAGATGCCATGCCAGGCTCTCTCTCTATTCTCAACTTTATCCCAGCAGACACTGAAGTTAGAATTTTTCTGTTCAGCTGCTACGTTTTTCTCCCTAACTGTGTAGACATTATACAGCCTCTAGGCCACCAGACATTTAACAGGCCAGCTGCACTGACACTGTGGGTGCAATCTTAACAGCCATGAGAGCTGTTGCCCTCATACCTGTAAAATAGATGTGTAGCATATAAAACTTGGAGAGATGAAAAACCCACAGTGCAGAAAGAGTAACAGAAAGAGATGTTACTGACTGACACTAAGTGCACAAAAGTAGTTAACAGACTAAAAACTATGAACCAGGGACTATAAACGCCTTCTGCATGCGATGAGGAGTGAGTGGAGCAGATGCACTGCCGCTGACACTTTGTTGTACTGTAAGTTTGATTATTGTAGAGCTAATCAACCAGCCATTGTCTAATCACACCTAGCTAAGTGACTACTGAGTGCAGTCAGAGCAGAAACGAACTTGTTGGAATGTTAAAATTAAATGTCTGCAAATAAAAACTGACAGTTTGACTGTAGACAGGTGAAATCAACATGGAATTGTCCTGTCCCTTTTTATAAAACGAGAATGGGCTGCTCAGCATATTATAGAATCTCATCAATTATTTTTAACACTAATAATTGATCAGTAGCCCAGCAGTAGTGAAGCATATCGATTTTTCGATACATATCAATTCTGAAAAGTTTCAGTACTTTTTCGTAGTAGCAATACAGTGATTCCAGCTAGCGATGGGTCCGGCAACACCGATGCGTCACCACATGCGTCGAGCTCGTAGAGCAAAACCCCGTGTCAGTGCGCGTATCACTTTAAGAAAGTCACGTGACCGATACAGGAACTGTTTCGAACTGACTGCCGCGCCAAACTGTGTTTATAAGGAAGCGCATATGTCAACGGGATGCATCTGCCAAAACGAATCTCTGATCTTAAGTCAAGAATTATGGAGCAGCCTCAAGCCAAAAGAAAGGTTTCCGCCGTGTGGGACCATTTTGATCTCGTATCGGAAAATAGGGTATTGCCAGGTCCCAGGATCCTATGAGATACTGGGACAACCAAAAGGCAATCTATCCAAACCTCCTCCGACTTGCCTTACAATTTCTCTGCACTCCAGCCTCATCTGTGCCGTGTGAGTGGGTGTTTTCTACAGCTGGAGAAGTTGTATCAAAAAAGCGTAACAGAAGCATCCTCATTCACAACACGTTCATTTAAATTTTCACGTTATGATACATGTTCATTATTTATTGACTGTATCTAAAAATATCAAGGAAACTTTAAATTTAAATGAAGATATGAAATAATACAATATAAAATACAATGACTTAAATTATATTATTGTATATACTAGGTCATCAAATCAGCATCAGTTGAGTCTGTCAACTAGGTTGCCTGTGGGGATTTTTAAGGTCCAGCAGGTGTCAGTATTCAGTGACACAGTATTGACACAGTATCAATACAGTTTGGCAATGTGTCGAAACACTTCATGACGCCTCATCTACCCATCACTAATTCTAGCTGTGCTTTCTTGCTTTTTCTTCTGTCCAACAGTGAATTTATGCACACACACACACACACACACACACACACACACACACACACACCGCTGCAGTGGCCACTCACAATGATGGCTGCTTCTCCGCACTTGTCTCATTTGCTCAGGGCTGTGGTATATTGGCAGTTTTGTTATGATGTTAGATCATTATGGAGGACAAGAGCAGAACCCCATGTGGTGGGCTTTGGGGGACAACACTACCCAGCAGTGAAAATATTAAATACTGACTGTACCAAGTAAACATACCAAAAAAAGGGAGAGGATGGAGGAGGAGAGAGAAAGAAGCAGCGCAGATACGATCACAGGTGCCCAATAAAATGTTACTGTGTAACCGAAGTAAATTAGAGCCCTATTTATCAGTGCCTATGACTACTCTTAAAATGTTATTTGTTGTTGCCTCAGTATGTTGCAATACAGTGCCTTGCGAAAGTATTCGGCCCCCTTGAACTTTGCGACCTTTTGCCACATTTCAGGCTTCAAACATGAAGATATAAAACTGTAATTTTTTTGTGAAGAATCAACAACAAGTGGGACACAATCATGAAGTGGAACGAAATTTATTGGATATTTACACATGTAGTTGCTTAATTTAAGGTTGGACTATTAATTTAATTTAAGGTTGGACTGAATGCAGTGAGTATAATTTGATGATGGTCCAGTTTGTTTCATACAAGTTTGTTATAAAGTGGTGAGAAATTTAACATTCAGCTATTTCTTTTATTGCTGTGATGTACTTTTATAATTTCATATAGGCCACATTTTAATTTCTTTGTGTGTTGTATAGTTTACAATTGCAGACGTTGAGCAATTTGTGATGTCTTTCGGTAAGTTTGGTTCCTAGAGAAAGGCCAAATTTCTTTTTTGGGTCCCATGACTAAAAATGTTTTGGAACCACTGACTTAAACTAATAATGTTTTGGAACCAGGACCTGATCCAGTTTTTGGATGAAGAAGGTCCTGAAATGGACAGTATGTCAGATATTTAATGAACATATACAGTAGGTAAATATAAATTTTGCTAAGTTTGGCAAATACTTGATATTAAAAGAATTGAATCTCAGCATCAAGCCCAAGAAAAACTGGGATCGGGACATCTCTATCTGAAAGCAACCTTACAGACTCTTTCCTTTGATTCAGTGAAACTGCTTATGATATGCATTTTTTTGGGCTTTGATCATGTCCATACTAAGTGGGCTAGATCTCCAGTCTTGTGTTCAGTTTGTACTTCTGCCCACACTTCAGGCCCAGATTTAGTTGGACACTGATGTGGATAGTAGAGCAGATGGCAGACGTCAATGGGGTTCTGATTATCGTACATTCTAGTACAAAATACACATGTACAACAAATGTTCAGGCTTGGTTAAGTTTATTGTCCAGAGTGGCTAATCTAGAAACGGCTGTCCTTGTGTTGCCTTTGAGTTACCTTCACCGCAGTCGATATGTTGATCATACACTTAACCCACGACAGTATGACTGGACAATAACCCTCAGTGCAATACCTGTAAATATACCTTGCACATATCGAATCCAGACTGTGTATATAGTACTTTATTTTTATTCCTAATGCACATTCCTTTGCTTGATTGCACATTACTTCTTTACTTCTGTTCTCAGCCTTGCATTCTTTACTTGCCCACTGCTGCCTTGCATAAGGACATGTACATATGCATTGAGAACTGCTGTACCAGAGTCAAATTTCTCGTGTGTCCAACACAACTGGCCAATAAAGGTGATTCTGATTCTGAGAGCATTTGTTCTCAAATTTATATAGGTGCTGGAAAGGTCCACCTAGGCCTGGGGGGATGCTGTATTGACAAAGAAAATATCTGGATGTTTATGATTTTGTCAAATGATAAGCAAACAATATTTTGCATCCTTGAAAAATGTTTGTCTAACATTGTACTAGCTCACTCTTGTTAATACAGCATTACAAATTGTTGCTTGCTAACTGAGTTAATAAGATAATTAATGGAAACAAAACTGAGACATGCAGGTAAAATAATACTCAAAAATGGAAACTTTTTTTTAATGTTGTGTGTGTGTGTGTGTGGGGTTTTTTTTTTTTTTGTGCTGGTAATGTTACTTGGCTGGTTTAGACCTGTCATGGGCACCTCTCTCACAAAGCTTTTCATTTTCTGTGTGGTGGTTGGTTTGCTGATGATGAATCTCAAGTTGTCTTAAGTGGCATTTGATTTCCGACAATTTGAGGACTGTCGGCTTTTGAGTAACATTTACCTTGTCAAAGCCAAACCACCTCCACACTGGGAGTGATGCGTGTCTAGCAATTAAATTAACACAGATTGCGAGGTACTGTATTTGGTGTCTGTATTTTGTCTCCTGGTGCTGTTTCACTTATTTTTAAACCTTTTAAACCCAAACATTTTTAAGCAACTAGCTTAACTGGTGTTGGGCAGTCACCATGAGCATACTGCATGCACGCTCAGTGCATACATGCAGTCGTCTGTCCCACATGAAGTGAATGTGTGGCGCCTCAGCGTATGTTTTTGCAAATTTTTGTAAAGTGAGTGACATACTCTATAATGTCACCTCACACTGTTAAAGCTACTTTAAGATATTATCATAGATGATACATATTGCACACACGTAAGTCCTTCTCATTTTCTGTCCTGTTGAATTGAGTCCAAGCAAGGCTTGAAGTAAAACAGTAAATAAGAGCACAAGCTGACTTGCAACTCCTGAAGTGATTGTCCTTTTCACTTGCTTTTTCCTGTACCTGTGATCCCTCTCCTTGCAGACTATTGTGCCAGCAAGTTTGCAGCAGTCGGCTTTGCAGAGTCAGTGGGTCTGGAGCTGTTGGCAACTGGGAAAGATGGTGTGAAGACTACCATTGTGTGCCCGTACTTCATCAGCACTGGAATGTTTGATGGATGTCAAACTAAGTAGGTCTCTCTATATGAATTTATTTATTTTTTATACTTCAGGATTCACTTTGTCTTAAATGAAACGGGTCTTTCATTTGCACATGTAAACTAGGGATGGGCAGTGGGATGATGCTGTTGTCTATCACTGATGTCGATAACACAGACCGTCAACAAGCTCAAGAGAACAGTATTCAGGACTTTTGGCTGGTGTGCTGGCAAAGACATATAATAAAAATATAATCAGAACTCAGACAAGGCAGATATAATATCCAAATTTTAACTGTATCAGAACTGTAGAACTGCATCAGCAGCTCCTGGGACAGGTTGAACTTCCTGAGCTGGCGCAGGAAGTACAGCCTCTGCTGTGCCTTCTTAATGAAGGCGCTGATGTTGGACGACCACTTCAGGTTGTTGGGGCTACACCACAGGACCAGCTGCTCAACCTCCCATCTATAGGTTGACTCATCACTGTCTCCGATGAGACCGATGACCGTTGTATCATCTGCAAACTTTAGGAGCTTAACAGAGGGCTCCTTCAAGATGCAGTCCTTGGTGAAGAGTGAAAACAGCAGAGGGGAGTGCACACATCACTGGGGGGAAGGGCGCCTGTGCTGTTTGACTGGGTGCTGAATGTGGTTTTCCCCAGCCTCACCTGCTGCTTCCTGTCTGTCAGAAAGCTAGTGATCCACTGACAGGTGGGGGCAGGCACAGTGAGCTGGGTCAGTTTGGAGTGGAGGATTTCCGGGATTATGGGGAGTCGAGATGTTGCAGGATGTAATGCAGTGCCATGTTGACTGCATCATCCAACAACCTGTTCGCCCAGTAGGTGAACTGCAGGGGGTCTACAGTGTCCTTCAGGTGGGCCAACACCAGTATTTCAAAGGACTTCATAACTACAGATGTCAGGGCGACAGGTCTGTAGTCGCTCAGTTCACTGATGGAGGGTTTCTTGGGGACTGGAATGATGGCGGAGCGTTTGAAGCAGGAGGGGACTTCACACAGCTCCAGTGACCTGTTGAAGATAAGTGTAAAGATGGGGACCAGCTGATCAGCGCACACTTTCAGGCAGGAGGGGGTCACACCATCTGGGCCTGGTGCCTTAAATGAACCAATAAAACTTTGTTTTCATATAATATTTTTTATTTCTCTTTGTATGAACTCCATATCACCTTTCTCAGTCACATGGCCTGTACCAATAGATTCCTATAGATTTCCTTGTCCTGGGTCTCACTCTGGGTGTAACGGTCCATACAGAAAGCCATTCAGCAGTGCAAGCTGTGGAATTTATAGCCCAGCTGAGATTTACTGCCTTGTTATGCCAGAAGAGAAGAGTAAGGAGGAGGAGGAGGAGGAGGAGTGAGAAACATTTAGTAGTTTATGTAATTTGGAAAGTCAATTCAAATGACAGCTTTGAAAGCCAGGAACCTTCAGGAAAAGAAAATGGAAAGAAAATATATTAAGCAAATTAAAGTGTGAAGTGCAATATTTTTATGATGCATGAAATAGAGCAGTAGGGTGATTACAATGCAGAGACTGGGAGAGCCGGGCCTTTATTTACTTGATTCGTAGAGACGAGCTTCTTTCTAATTCCCCCTCTTAAAGTTTGTCATGTATAATGAGAAACTGCCATTTTTCTCATATGCTCCTTTTTGTTGTGGCTGGCGGGGGTTATATGGTTCAGGAAGTAGAGCTGGTTATCTCCCAACCAGAGGGTTGGCGGTTTGATATCTGGCTTGTCCAGTCCTCATGTTGAAGTGTCCTTGAGCAAGACACTGAACCCCTAGCTCTCAGTGATGACACTGATGTGTGAATGGGAAATAGTGTAAAGCACTTTGAGTGTGCAGCTATGTGTAGAAAAGTGCTATGCAAGTATATTACCATTTACTGCAAACTCAAATTAAAGTGCTACCACTGTAGAAAAAACACAATGTGGATTGCGTGGAAAAATATTGGATATATTGAACAAAACTATGCAGAGACGCCACTCAGACAGTAACAGATGAAGCCCAAAACCAACAACACACATTTTTACACACAATAGTACATGCTTGAATGGAGTAGGAAGAAGTCAGACTTATCCAGTCCTACCCTGTGACATCATCTTACCATCATTGGTTTGCAAGCAATAAATGATTCACTTCTACACACACACATATTATACTAAAAAAGAATATAACAGTGTTAACGTTCTAACATCGCACAAGTGATATACTAAAGAACGGTTACAAAATATACACCACACCCACAAT